TACTGACTCAGAGTATGGAAGAAAATGCGTGCTGCCTGACTGTGCAGAGCTTTAGGGGGACCCAAAACTCAGGGACTCCTATATTCTGGAATTTCCCTATAGCAACCTGCATGGCCATTGCCCCTAGCAACCAGAGGCAGGAAATTGTTGGCTGCAGTTGTAAAGTGTCACGGAACCAGCAAAGAAAGTGGAGAGCTTTAGGGGAACCCAAAACTCAGTGACTCCTAAGGAGGTAGTGCTACATTATGATGAACTGATTAAAGGGTGTGGTGCTCTAATCCTTCCTTTGTTCTGGTGACTCTAGGAGAGAGAAAAAAGGAAATATTAGTATGTCTTTAACAGTATAAAAAGTGTGTACAGTATATGTACTACTTGAATCAACTGCTGAAGCCACAGATACCCATATCATTTGTTTTAATTTTTCAGTTCAAAACATTTTTATTGAAGGCATTTTTGTACAAATAGTTTACAAGAGTATGACATTTGTGAAGACCAACATTATCCAGGCAGGTATTAGTTTTATAGCCGTCATGTGTGTGTCACAGGGTGCAATGTATCACAATGTCTTTTTTTTTTTACTTTTAAGCTTCTTTTGATTGAGCTATGGGGAGGTAATTTCAAGAACTCGTGTGGCGTTCCTTCTTTGTAAATTCCTTGTATTTTGTCCAAAGCGCCTACCAGAAGCCTCTTCATGAATGGCAGCACCCTTACCTAGGGGACAACACTCCATTTAATATATTCCACTGCTCACAATGAGAGTGCCAGGGCCTTCAATCCATTCCTTCTGGATTCCTCTTTTGCTACATATTGTGCAATGTGTGGAATTTGATCTCCCAGGTTCTAGAAGCCACCCAATTTATGAGCCTGTGGAAAGCTGATGTTTTGCTTGAAAAGTGCTACTGTATGTACTACAATGGTTGTCAACAGGCCCGGACTGGAACAAAAAATAGGCCTGGGCATTTTAGACTTTCTGGGGGGGGCGGCTAGCGGGCATTCACAGAGGAGGTTGGTGGTGACGGGATATTCATGGAGTAGGTGCTTAGTTCCTCTACACTCTAAGGTAAAGGGGCACTGAAATGATGAAATGATTACAATGCAGTTCCCTTTATATCACAGTGCCCCTTGCAGTCATGCCCCTGCCTCTATTCTCTCTAATCACAGTTCCCCCCTTTACACTCTGCCTCCCCTGCACAGTCCTACCTTCGGCAGGGCAGAGGCAGGGTTCAGCCTGTGTGTCCTCTCCAGGGTCTCCTGCTCCTGTCATCCTATCAGCAGAGCAGTGGTAGGAGGAGCTGCAGATCTGGATCATAATAATAAGTGGGTGAATATGAAAAGACTCCCACTTTCTGTGCAGATTTGCATCTCCTCCCACCCCCTGCTCTGCTGATAGGATGACATCGTTGGTGGGGCGGGAGACCCTGGAGAGGACACACAGGCATGGCTGCATAGACCCCCCCCCCCCCCCTCTCTTGAGCACTCTGTATAGAAGGTCTATCTAAGTAGATCACTCTCTCTTTATATATGGGATGCCTCTCTATATATTAGATCTCTCTCCTTTCTCTCTCTCTCCTTATCTCTCTCTCTCTCTCTCTTCTCTCTCACCTTCTCTCTCTCTCCCCATCTCCCTCTCTTTCTCCCCCATCTCTCTCTCTCTCTATCTCCCACATCTCTCTCCCCACCCCCCCCCCCCCCCCCCTCTCTCTCTCTCTCTCTACTACACTCCCTCTCTTCTCTAACTGTCTCATTTTTCTCCTTCTATCTCTCTCTCCCCTTCTCTCTATCTCTCTCTCGCTCTCCATCTCTCTTTCTCTATCTCTCCTCTCACCTTCTCTCTCCATCTTTCTCTCCCTCTCTCTCTGCTCTTCACTCTCTCCCTCTCTCCTTTTCTCTCTCTGTCTCTCTCTCTCCTTCTCTCTCCCCTTCACTTTCTCCTTCTCTATCTCTGTCTCCACTCTCTCCTTCTCTCCCTCTCCCCTTTCTATCCTCCCCCCCCTCTCTCTCTCTCTCTCTCTCTCCATCTCTCCCTCTCTCCCTTTTTATTTATCTGTCTCCTTCTCTCTCTCTCCTTCCTACTTTCCTTCTCTCTCTTCTATTTCTCTCTCTCCTATCTCTCCCTCTCTCTGGGATCTCTATTTCTCTCTGTAGTAGAGTTCTCTCTCACATACACTCTTGGAGCCACCAGAGCTCTCTCTGTACCTCTACATCTTCTGGCTCTCCAGAGGTCACTTGCCATCACTCTGCAGCCAATGACCGGGCATGGTATTGTTCCTGAACGCTTCTCCCCAAGTGTCAGTCCGGGGCCCACCCCCTACTCGCTCCTCTATCTTCTGTGCTTGGTCTTTGCACTGCTCCAGGGGGATCTGAGCTGGATCACCCAAGGGAGGTGGGGGGTCAGTGCAGTTCTACAGCTCCTCTCACAGCAGAATGGGAGAGGAGACACAGACATGGCCTTAGAGCAGGAGGTGAGTGGTGACTGTGGTCTGTGTTAGCCCTGTCCACCGTGGTTGCCACTTACCTCCCGCTATGTAGCCCAGTCATCAACAGGCCACGGACTGGTACCAGCCCGGGGGTTGAGCATGGTGGCCTGGCTCACAGGGCAAATGCACCGGTGTGCCCTATGGCCAGTCCGGGCCTGGTTATCAAGTTACAAGTTTTAGGGGTCCTCATGTGCAGAATTAAAACATTTGTTTTGTTTAATTTCTTCTCGTTATTTAAATATTTTGTTTCATTTCATTCTTTTTCAGTAATGTGTCTCGTTTAGTTTATTACTTTTTTAATTTGATTAAAATTCAATTTGACTGAATTTAGGAAATTTGAACTGGCATTCGAATTCAAATTGGCATCTGAATTTATTCTGTTGGAAATTCGAATTTCTGAAGACGAATATATTATTCCTATTTTATTCTATGCGATTGCTTTTTTCTATTCTGTTATTGTGTATTCTAATCTATTCTATGTGAATTTGAATTTATTCTATTCACAATTTGAGTTTCAGAAGATAGTTATTTGCTTTCTTTTTTATTCTGTTCTATTGTGTTTTTTATTCTATTATTTTCTTATCTATTCTGATCTATTGTATTCGAATTCAATTGATTCTTTTCAAAATTCAAACTTCGGAAGACAGTTATATTCTTTCTATTTTATTCTATTGTTTTTTCTATTCTACTATTTTCTATTTTATTCTTTTCTATTGTATTCTAATCTATTCTAATATTTTATAATGTATTCTATTCTCTCGTTATTCTATTCTATTCTTTTATGTTCTATTCTTTTCATTTTTTAATTAAATTCAAATTAAGTCAAATTCAATTCGAATTCAAATTTCATCTGAATTTTGTTTCATTATTTCTGATCAGTTACTATTTTAATTTGAAAATTCGGATATATACAAATTTCCGAATAACGAAAAATGTGTCCAAATTTCAATTTGGAAACGAACTGCACATGTCTAGTCCTCAGCTGTGGCTCATGACATTATCAAAAAGGCTCACATAACATTTACTATATGTAATTGTGCAGAAAATAGTCATATGGTTAGAAGCTCTAGACATGTCATGAAGAGGCGTAATTAGAACCTTCAAAGCTCCAATGCAAGAAACCACAAGTGCCCCCCTGGTACGCCCGCAGGCAATGCACTGGGACCTGAGTAGGGAATCAGTTTTACCTACTTCCCTACTTTGGTTTTGGGGTCCTTTCCATCGGTCCATGGGCCCTTGTCATTGATCCTGGGGCTTTTTACTCCTCTCACAGGGCCATTTATTATGGTCCTGCAGTGGGACCCTTTCACATGTTCTGCAGTGGGCCTCCTTTCTGCCGTCATGGGGCCCCCCCCAAGGTGGCAGAGTACCAGGGTCGGTCGCAAGTGCTACCATTGTGACCCTGGTAGTTCCACCATTGATGTCATGGGTGATGTTGGAGATATGTTGTTAAAGAGAACATGTTACAATGGACTGCTAGATATCACTGGCACTTCATTGCATTACAAAATCAACACTCCCACTGTTCACTGCTGGGATCCAAGGGTCACATGGAAAAAAACAAAGGGCTAGAGGTGGGGGCACCAGGGACCCACTGACTATATGTGCAACATAGTTACATAGTTAGTCTGGCTGAAAAAAGACAAAAGTCCATCCAGGTCAACCATAAAAAAAAAAAGTTATAATCCTATACCCACAGTTGATCCAGAGGAAAGCAAAAAAAAAAAAAACCCCAGCAAAGCATGATCCAATTTGCTCCTGCAGGGAAAACATTCCTTCCTGATCCCCCAAGAGGCAATCGGATATTCCCTGGATCAACTTTACATATAAATGTTAGGAATTATGATTTATTCATGTTGTATTTCTATTTTTTATTTAAGGTCCTGAACTATATATAGATGTCGCACCCTCCCAGACAGGTTGCTAGTTAGGTCAGGTAAATTTAGTTCTGATGGATCACCTGTAATCATTTGAGCAGCTTGTGATTGCTTTGGGCTCTGCTGGCTGCAGGTTTGATTGCTTCCCCCTGTTTTCTGGAGGATTCCAGGATATAGTGGGTTGATAGAGTCAGATAAGCAGCCTGACTATTTATGTGCTTGCAGCCAATCCCTGGGGGAGGATGTCCAGTAGGTGGCTGGAGAGTGCATACATAGTCTGGAGCTTGAGGCAGACCTGTTCTTGTCCAGGAGGAGAAGTTCTAAGCCTGAAGGGCTCCTGCCCTTCTGGGCAGCCCTGCTGAAAATTCTGTTTGCTCTCATCAAGGTCCCAGCAGAGCTGGGGTGCCTGTTATGCTAAAAAAATCTATGAAGCTAGGCAAGGAATTTCACTGGGAACACTCAGAGGAATTGTCTGCCTGATATTGGAGGGAGGCATCCAAGTAGACTCCAGGGACATTGTGAATGCAGACCTGAATGGAGGATTCTAGTGACTGTTGCTGCTGATATTTCAAACATATCATCTATAGTGCTTGCATGGCCTAGAACATTACTGAAGGTGTCTCGGTGCCAGGGGCGGACTGACAACTCATGGGGCCCCCGGGCAATAGGGGATCATGGGGCCCGTGTGTCCTTGCCCACACTTAAAAAAGCCTATAAAAAAGGTACCAGTGGCATTTCATGGGGCCCCCTACTGACCCCGGGCCCTCGTGCAGTGCCCGAGTGCTCGAATGGTCAGTCCGCCCCTGCTCGGTGCTATTCGATTTCTGGACTTTTGCTGGAGGAACTGCCCTGAGAAGTAGGTAGACAGTGAAGAGTGCTGTCAATCTATTGCTCAGTGTTCATGGAGTATCCCATAGCTCCCTGTGCCCTGTCCAAGTTAATCTACAATAAATTTTAAATAGGAAACCCCTAGACTATTTATTGAGCCAGAAAAGTGCCTGTTGTGGCGTGCCTGTCTGCTGCTGCACTATCTGGGAAAAGAACCTGGGACAAATCAGTGGCCCTCTCTGGGGTAAGAGCTACATATAAGACATTCCAAAGTTAATCAGTGTTTCTGACCAGCCTGGGACTATCCCTGATCGTCAGGGATGCCTGGCACTCATCCAAATATATGGCCTATAGTTCAGAACCATCTCAGAGATACAACGACAGTTGTTTGCATGATCGAATATTTAACTACTGTTCTCTCTGGACTGTCGAAATCGGTTGGCCCTCTCAGGCGTAAACACAAAGGTAACCAAGCGTTACAGATGAAACTATGTTTTTCAGTATGGAAACTCAAGGCACTGATCTGCCAGCGTTCAGGATTGATCGGGACCCTGGATATGCTGTGCTGATCATTCCTGTAATTAGGAAGACAGGAAACAAGAGCGCAGTGTTTAATGAGTACAGAGAGCCATTATTCTGGGAGAAAGGGTAGGGCTATCTCATCGGCTGCTTAGAAAGATTTTCTACATCTGTGGGAGTTTTCTCAAGGCTTACTATGAAACTCCGTAATGTGACAGGGTCATAAACGTTATGCTTAGCATTCAGAATCTTTCACATGCTAAACAAATATTTGAAATATCTGAAGCAGCGATGAGAAAACAGTTAAAACAGGTTTAATATCTTGAATAATCAGAAAGTGCTGGGCTGGGTATCTTTTGTGAGAAGGGACTGGAGAGAGGCCAGATAGGGAGTACATGGTATTTTCTGGCAGCTTTTGGAACCTCTTGAACCTGAAACTCTGAAAGATCAAAGGCTAGGTTTATATTTTTGCAGGAAAAAAAAATGTGCGTTTATTATTAAATAAATATATATTGTTTTTTTGTATGTGTCACAAATTATTTTGTTTTTTGACACTTATATATAAATTGTAATATTTGCACTAATATTACTTTTAGGTTGGGTATTTTACAAATTGTTTTTTGTGTGTTTTGCGCTGTTTTGAGTTAAAAAAAAAAAAAATTTTTTTTTGGTTTTATACCTATGCACAGCAGCATCTCACGTGGATAAGTGTGGTCTGGTTTAAAGTTTACTAAGATTGAAAGTCATAAGGGTATCACGCTATTTGGTTTTTTTTTCTTCTGAATTTTGGTGGAGTCGGTGAGGGGAGTAATCGGAGGAGGTTTTTATGTCCTAGAGGAGGCAATATTTGGAGGTTAAAAAAAAGGGGATCCAGGAGTCCTTAATAATCCTGAAAGGCATTATACTCACCAAACATCTGGTGAGTGCGGTTCATGTTGGTTTTGCACTGGTGGATGGTGGAAGGACTATTATTGGCACTGAAAAAATTTATGAAAATATAGGTTTGTTTTTTTTATCACGGGATGTTTTTTTTTGGACATGTCACTGGACTTTTCTTGTTTTTTTGTATGTGTCACAAATTATTTTGTTTTTTGACACTTATATATAAATTGTAATATTTGCACTAATATTACTTATAGGTTGGGTATTTTACAGATTGTTTTTTGTGTGTTTTGCGCTGTTTTGAGTTAATAAAAAAAATTGTTTTTTAGTTTTATGCCTATGCACAGCAGCATCTCACGTGGATAAGTGTGTGGGGAAGGAGGTCCTGGGCGCTGAGGTCTTTTTTATTGATATATATATACTGTGTATACACTCACCGGTCACTTTATTAGGTATACCTGTTCAATTGCTTGGTAAGACAAATTGCTAATCAGCCAATCACATGGCTGACTTGATGTGACTTTGATGCAACTTTGTCAACTTTGGCTTTGACCAAGGATGATTGTTTGTGCTCTACAACATGCATGTATATCATTCAGGTGCGACTTTCATGTGACTTTAGAGAGTTTACACTGAAGTCTATGATCCTCAAGTTGCATGAAATTCAGACCAAAGTAGTGCAGGAACTACTTTCAAGTTGCTGCGACTTGAAGATGCACAGATATGAAGAGTACTCATTGGGAAACATGGGGTACGACTTGTCATGCGACTTTGGACCCCAAAGTCGCATGACAAGTCACACAAGTGTGAATGGGCACAAGAAATTTTACTGTTAGTTCTACATTAATGAGATTTGATCTGTCTGCAGTCTGCCATGGGTGATTGCAATCATCCATAAAAACTCTGGTGTACTTTAGGTCCTTTATTGGTGGCTCTTGTGATCTTTATATAAGGTTGCACTCAGGTGAGGATCTCCAATAGGTGAAGGTTAGTAGAGAGTCTGTGGATAGTGCCTGTGGTATTAAACTGACGACCACTTAAAAAACAAGCAGCTTTGTATGTAATCTTAATCTCCTGCACCGTCTGTTAATGCTCAGAAACCTCTTCTGCACTTGTAATAGCGGGGACATTATTCCATGTGACGATTAGTTAAAGGGAAACAATCCTGTATTTTTAGTGAGTACTCATTGTCATTTATCAGTTTGCAGCTGAAAGTAATGGTGTCCATAGATGACTTGTTTCTTGATTAGGCTGTTTTCACACTGATGCGTTTTTGCAGCATTTTTACAGTGCAAAAACACAATCCCTTTAAAACCTATGGGACTCTTCATACCACTGTGGTGCAGGTGTAGTGCATTTTGCAAATCTATGCTTGCTCCATCTTTGGTGAGATTTTCAAAAAACGTAGCTCCCCATTAAATTGGATAAAAAATGTATCAAAATGTATAAAAAAAACAAACACGTAACAATGTATCAAAAACATACCTGCATTTGTTTTTTTTTGAGGCACATGTCCAACTTTCATAGGTGCATACTGGCTACAACGCACCGGAAACGTGGCAAAAACACATATGCGTTTTCACAGCGTTTTTGCACTGGAGCAGTGTGAAAGCAGCCTTAGTCAGCAGGCTTATCGAAAAAAACAAAACTGATTGCTCCATCCAAAGAAGAGGGGTGGATGGCAGAATTCTGTCCGCTATTGTAATCTGACAGCAGGACTCCTCTACTGTCAGAATACACTGATCAGCGACTGCAGCAGATTGGCTGCAGATGCTGCTTGGGAAAAGTTTTCCAATATTCCTGTTTGAGAAGAGTCAATTGACTTCTATAGAACAGGGATGGCCATACATGGATCGAAAATTATTCCAGTCCCTGTTGAACCAGTTGAATTTTGATCCATCTACAGCCAGATGAAAAGTAACTTTTGATAAGTTTTTTGCTTGTTTGCATGCTTGCTCTGTCACATATTCATGATTAGATATGAATGATCAGCAGGATCAGGATCTGACCTGGAGGATAGATGGATGGCTGTGAATTGCTGCAGAGAGAAGATTTACATTTCTTTGGGTTTCAGGAAGCTCTGTCTGAACTTCCCTTACTCAAGGCTTATTTTTTGTCAGAGAATAGGGGCCGGTACTCCCTACTTCTGAGGCACCCCTTGTCTCTGCCCCCTACCAACCTCTGAGCTCTATCCCATAGTTCTGCCCCCCTACCCACCCCCCAGCACCACCCCTTTTAGAGCATACAGAATCGAGCATCATATTGTGGTGCTAAGTGATGTGTAAGGATTTTGTTTATAATAACCAGAAAGTCAGTAAAATAGATCCCATGCAGCCAACACCAATAGATCCCCCAGTAACAATAGATCCCCCAGCAACAACAGATCCCCCCAGCAACAATAGACCCCATGCAACAAAATCCCTCCCCTAGCAAAATTAAAACCACCCCACCATCAATAGACCCTCCAGCAAGCATCAACAATAGATCCCCCCCGAGCAACAATTGATTACCCCAGCAACAACAGATTCCCCACCAACAATAATAGACCTCCCCACAACAATGGATGCCCCCCTACTGACAATAGGTCCCCCAGCAGCCAGCATCAGTAGACCCTCCTGCACATCCGAGACCCCTTGCCCTTGCATGTATTCAGTGCTCAAGGTGCCGGAACTGTGCTCCCCCCACGTTCCCGTTGAAAAAAAGCCCTGCCCTTACTAACCAATCTCATTCTTTCCTTTGGTTTTGTGACCTGCATTCAGAAAAAACACAGAATAACCATCTGCCCACTGTAGTTTTACTGCTACAGTGCATGCCGGCTGTGCAGCATCACGTATATATACATTCCAGGTAGGGGGGATGCGTGTACCCGCCCAGCCAGCTGTGCTGTCACTGGTTCTAGCACATGCCGATCACTGGCTCATTGCCGATTATTTATGACCAGGACCCGCGGAGCGAGTGACAGGAGAGAGTTCTGTGTAGGTAAACAACACAGAGCTCTCTACTGACAGCGGGGATGTGCTGGTTTTTGTTTCTCTGTAAAGCAGGGAATACAAATCAGCACATCACTTAGTAAAAGCACCACACGGTAAATGCTTTACACATTGTTATGCACACAGTTAAAATTTTGATCGCCCCAGATGTTAACCCCTTCCTGCCCAGTGTCATTAGTACAGTGACTGTTGTTTTACACTATTTGATTTATTATTATTTCTGTGACCATCACTTGTTTATCATTGCTCTGTGTCTTTAAGCTGTCTCCTCCTGCCTAAGCTGAGCTCTTTCTCTCACCGTACTTGTGCATACTCCTCCCCCCTGCCTCTCTCTGTAATCATTCCACTGTATCCTGTCTTTCTGAATGCATCTTTCCATGAGGCTTCCAACATTAATAATTTTCTACCTATGAATATCCTCCGTTAAACGGAACATTCAAATGGTTTTCCTCATCTGACTTCCACAACATGTGAGTTTATTCATTGAGTTAACCTGTCTGACCCGATGCACAAGATAAAATCAACACCCGTCGAATAGCTATATACATCGCTGGAGATAAAGTTTATGGTCTTGTAGTTGAATCAGAACAATGACAGTGTATGTTATTTGCACTGATCACTGTATTAGTGCCACTGGTGATGTCAGTGTCAGTCAGTTCCCACAAAGTGACATTTAGTGTCAGTTTGCCCACCATACTATCACAAGCCCACTATACTGTAAGTCCCTGGTCACAATGAATCCAACTTTGAAATCGAGTGACTTCACTTGGATTCGCAGGATTTCAAAGTCAGATGTCAGTCTGACTTCAGGTGCGACTTGGTAGACATCTCTGCAAATTCATGTCTATGCAAGTCACACTTCAACTTGCAAAAAGTAGTGCATGAAGTACTTTCAAAATTTTATACTAGTAATGACGGTGATCAGCGACTTAGCCCTGGTCACTTGGGTGCGACTTGTCATGTGATTCGATAGTTTCAAAATGCATGACAAGTTGCACGCTATTGTCCGCAATGGAATCGGTCATATCGGTGCGATTCAGACTCGGATGGCAGAGTCACACCGATATGACCGATTCCATTGCGGACAATAGCGTGCAACTTGTCATGCATTTTGAAACTATCGAATCACATGACAAGTCGCACCCATGTGACCAGGGCTAAGTCGCTGATCACCGTCATTACTAGTATAAAATAAATAAATAAAAATACCAGTATATAAGTATATATATATATTTAAGTAGACAGTATAACTTTCACGCAAACCAATTAACTGCTTGGTAACCGCACTATAGCCGAATGATGGCTGCAAAGCGGTTACCCAGTTCTGGGAGGGCGTCCTATGACGTCCTCCCAGAATGCGCCCTCCTGCGCGCCACCAGCAGCACACACCCAGTGATCCCCATGATCACTGTGTCCATCGGATACAGCTGATCACGTGGTGAGGTAAAAGGCCAATCACAGGGGCCTTTTACCACGTGATCAGCTGTGTCCAATGGCACAGCAGATCAAGGAGTAAATACAGTTGCTGGTAATCACCATGAGGAAAGTACTGCCGATAACAGGCAGCTATCACAGAGCAGATCAGCACTGATCATGAAGGCATTGATGATTAGTGCCCTTATGATCAGTGCCCTGCAGTACCGCCCAGCAGTGCCTCCCACCAGTGCCCAGCAGTGCCACCCATCAGTGCCCCCCAGCAGTGTCACCTATCAGTGCTGCCCATCAGTGCCACCCAGCAGTGCCATCAGTCAGTGCTGCCAGTCAGTGCTGCCAGTCAATCATTGTCGCCGATCAGTGCCGCCTATCAGTAGCCATCAGTGCCGCCTATCAGTGACCATCAGTGCTGCATATCAGTGTAGCATCGTCAGTGCCCATCAATGCAGCCTCATCAACGCACATCAGTGAAGGAGAAAAATTACCTGTTTGCAAAATATTATAATAGAAACAAAGAAAAACTTTTTTTTCAAATTTTTTGCTCTTTTTGTTTATAGTGCAAAAAAATCCCAAAAAAACAGTGTCAATTAAATGCCACCAAAAGAAAGCTCTGTTTATGTGAATAAAAAAATGATAAAAATGTCATATGGGTACAATGTTGCATGACCGCGCAATTGTCATTCAAAGTGCGACAGCCCTGAACGCTGAATATTGGCCTGGGCAGGAAGAGAGTATAAGTTCCCAGTAGGCAAGTGGTTAATATATACCTATTGGGATTTTTTTTACAAAAGAATATGTAGCAGAATATATTTTGGCCTAAATTTATGAAGACATTTGATTTTTAAAATTTTTTTATTGGATATTTTTTTCTTCAAACATTAGGGTCTTTTTTGTTTATAGAATAAAAAATAAAAAAGCCCATCGATGATAAAATACCACCAAAAGAAAGCTCTATTTGTGGGAAAAAAAATTATATAAATGTCATTTTGGCACAGAGTTGCATGACCGAGCAATTAGAAGTTAAAGTAGTGCAGTAGCGCATAGCAAAGAATGGCCTGGTCATGAAGAGGGTAAAATCTTCTGGAGCTCAAGTGGTTAAACATGAATGCCAAAAGTACAACAGAATCATTAGACAAATTAATTTAAAGCTGAAATTTATGTAAGATTTTTTTTTTTTTTTGCATGGATACATTGGAAGTATACATATCTCATACATGACTGATAACTGTGTAAGCTGCAAATCACTGTAGTAGTCTGCACTACTACACTGATAGTAGTAGCCTTCCAGGTCCAAGGCCGAGTGGCTGCAATCCTGAACAGTAGTCACAGGGGAGGCGCTGGGTTCAGCAGTGCCACCATGCAGGCAAAGCCTTGCATTTATTTTAATAAATACACAGTGTTCTCTGATTGGAAAAAGTGGAGAGTGTGATTCCACCATCACACCTCTCCCTCTCATCCAATCAGAAAACACCTTGTATTCATGGAAAAAATGCAAGGCTTTCTCTTAATAGGGGTAGTATCAAGTGAGTGACCCCCTGTGGTTACTATGCAGTATTGCAGCCGATTGGCAGACTGCTGCTATTTCTGTAGTAGCAATAGCTACTACAGTGATCTGTAGCTTCTGCAGGGCTCATTCAACTATGAAATATGAATACTTAGATTGTTCCAAGCTTTCAAAAAGGAAGGTCTGAGGAGTTATATAAAAAAAACATCAAATGCATGTGAGTTATGTTACTTCTGATATAGGAAAAAAAATGACTGTAATACCACTTCAAAGTGACACCAAGCAATATCCCTATTCTGTAAAAATATTCCATACCACATGCTCTACTTAATGCCCCTGTAATCTATATTCTTCATGAAATCATTACTTATTGAATTTTGCTGCCTATTTGGAATGTCCTCTGTGAGCTCCTGAACCTCTCATTTCCCTCTCACTTCAGTTTGTTTGGAGCAAGCAGTGCATGTTAGTTGCATTCATGAGCACTCCTTGCATGCTATAAATCCCACAGTCCATTGGCCCTAGTCCACCCTGGAAGAGAGGGTGTGGCTGTGAGTTGATGTACTTAAAACCAATCTAGTTGAATATAGAGTTGTAAACTACACATGTACTGACGTATGTGCCAAAAATGTGTACTGCTGCCCAGGGGTGGACTGACAACTCATGGGGCCCCCTGGGCAATAGGGGATCATGGGGCCCCTGTTTCCTCGCCCACACTCAAACCACACCCAAAAAAGCCTATGAAGGGTACCAGGGGCATCTCATGGGGCCCCCTACTGACCCCGTGCCCTCAGGCATTGCCCAAATGGTCAGTCAGCTCCTGTGCCCAGGCATTTTTTATGATTACAAAAAACTCTGCCTGACAGCACAAGTAGGAGGGTGACACCATCTTATCTGTTAGCAGTAAGCAATGCAGTGGTGTCACATTCCTTCCCACAGCCTACTGACTAGGCAATAAAGAAGCAGCAAAGCAATAAGCAAAGCAAAAAATAAAGAAATAATAAATATAATATATTAAATAAAAATAATTTTAAAAAATTCAAAATGTTCCCTGTCACCCATTTAAAAATCACCCATTGCAAATTTACTGACTATGGTATGCACATATATGTAAACATAAATTGCACTACAGCTGTAAGATATAATCATGAACATCAGAGTGAGAACAATAATTCTATGGCCATCATGGTTAACTCTAAACAGTTATCTATGGAGAATCTTGTACAATAGCTTTTATTTTCTTTTTTTGCGATTATGCAATTTTAAGGCTTGACATGTTTGGCATCTATTTACTTGATGCAAGCCTATCTTTTTAATTAACCCAAAATTTGGGTATTATATCCTTGGACTGTCTGCTTTCCAAAAAGGGGTCATTTGGGGGATATCTGTACTGTCCCAGCAGTATTTGTGTGAAAAACTTATATAAATTTAATTGGGGTACAGCGTTGCATGACAGTGCAATTACCAGTTAAATTAGCACAGTGCTGAATAGCAAAAAATGGCCTGGTCATGAAGGGGGTAAAACTTTCCAGAGCCCAAGTTGTTAATGACTGATCCCTCCATAGTGGTTATAGACTGATCCCCCATAGTGGTTATAGACTGATCCCTCATGGTGGTTATAGACGGATCCCCCATAGTGATTATAGACGGATCCCCCGTAGTGATTATAAGCTGATCCCCTATAGTGGTTATAGACTGATTCCCCATAGCAGTATAGACTGATCCCCCATAGCAGTTAATGATTGGTCCCCCATAGCGGTTAATGACTATGGGGGACTGATAGACTGATCCCCCATAGTAGTTATAGACTGATCCCCCATAGTAGTTATAGACTGATTCCCCATAGCAGTTATAGACTGATCCCCCATAGTAGTTATAGACTGATTCCCCATAGCAGTTATAGACTGATCCCCCATAGTAGTTATAGACTGATCCCCCATAGTAGTTATAGACTGATCCCCCATAGTAGTTATAGACTGATTCCCCATAGCAGTTATAGACTGATCCCCCATAGCAGTTATAGACTGATTCCCCATAGCAGTATAGACTGATCTCCCATAGCGGTTAATGATTGATCCCCCATAGCGGTAAATTACTGATCCCTCATAGCAGTTATAGACTAATCCCTCATAGTGGTTAATGACTGATCCCCCATAGCAGTTATAGGCTGATCCCCCAAGGGGGTTTAGACTGATCCCTTGTGGTGGTTATAGACTGATCCCCCATAGTGTTTATAGACTGATCCCTCATTGCGGTTAATGGCTGATCCCCAATAGTGGCTATAGACTGATCCCCCATAGTAGTTATAGACTGATCCCTCATAGTGGTTAATGACTGATCCCCCATAGCAGTTATAGGCTGATCCCCCAAGGGGGTTTAGACTGATCCCTCGTTGTGGTTAATGACTGATCCCCCATAGTAGTTATAGACTGATCCCTCCTAGGGGTTATAGACTGAGCCCTCATAGTGATTTATGAGTGATCCCACTTAAGAGTTATAGACTGACCCCCCATGGTGGTTATAGACTGATCCCCCATAGAGGTTAATGGCTGCTCCCCCATAGAGGTTAATGGCTGCTCCCCCATAGTGGTTCTAGGCTGCCTCCCCCCCCCATAGGGGTTATAGTCTGATTCCCTCATAGTGGTTATAGACTGATCCCCCGTAGCGGTTATTGACTGATCCTTCATAGTGGTTAATGAACTATCCTCCATAGCGGTTAAAGACTGATCCCCCATAGCGGTTGTAGACTGATCCCCCAGAGTGGTCAATGACTGATCCCACATAGGAGTTGGTAGGAAATGCTTTCATGAAGAGCTCAGTTCTGTTGGCCTGTCAGATATCTTTGCAGTAGTGCAGAGAAGCTCTGTGCTGTAATTATCCAACAGCTCGGCACTTGAGCCAGAGATAAACATCTGATCCTATTGTGATTTCATTACCAGGACAGTGACCGGAACACATGGGAGCTCACTCCGGCCAACCTCATCTTCCATGGCTGGGAACACAAATCTAATTGATTCAAAGCAATAAAGCCACTTTGGATATGATTTAGTTTAGGGCTGTAATTGGAAGGGAATAGCTGCACATCAGAATATTCTCCTGGACAATATTGCTTATAATATCTTCATGTCAGTGTTTGCATTGGATATGTTATGGCATTGTGTTGCCATTAAAGTCCAACTCCAGGAATTTGGAACAATCTACGCCTGCAGTAGGGCCACCTGAAATCTTTTTTATATCCGGGGCCCTGGAATAAAGAGCAAATACTTACCTTATTTTACATTCCAGCAGGCTCCTTCCAGGACTGTGACTGGTCCCCCATAGTTGCCTCTGTGAGCTGAGAATGGCGGTCACACTCCAACCACAATGTACAATACAGAGTTAATATCCCTGTATTGTATGTGATGATGCCAAGACCCCGCCCACAGACCAGAGCTTTAAAGAAAGTGCTGGTGCTGGCCAGAGCAGGGCTATAAAGTACACAATCCCTCCACTGGCTTCCAATTGCCCAACGGATAAAATTCAAAACATTAACAATAACATATAAAGTCATTTATAACTCTGCCCCAAATTACATCACCGATCTTGTCTCCAAATATCACCCAAACCATACTCTCCACTCCTCGCATGACCTCCTGCTCTCTAGCTCCCTTGTCTCCTCTTTCAGGACTTCTCCAGAGCTTCCCTTATCCTCTGTAACTCTCTACCCCAATTTATCAGACTATCCACCTACTCTGCTCACTTTTAGGCAATCTCTGAAAACCTACCTCTTCAGGGAAGCCTATCCTGCCCTCAGCTAATAATGGAATCTTCTATTCCTCCTACCAGTCCATCCCCCACAGTTATTACCTTTTGTACCACTAGCCCCTCCCTCTTAGATTGTAAGCTCCCAGGATCAGGCCCTCCTAACTCTCTTGTTTTGAACTGTATTGTTGCTGTATTGTCTCCCGTTATATTGTAAAGCGCTGAGCAAACTGTTGGCGCTATATAAATCTTGTATAGTAATAATAGTTTGGTGGAAGAAAATATGAGATTGTGTCAGTCAGTAGGACTGTATTTATTGAAGCTACCAGAAGAGGGCAGCAGGTCTCTGCTCAGTTACACCGCAGCTATCAGTCTCTGCTCCTGGGTTTACAGTATATTTAACACCTCTACCTTGATATCTTACATTGCTTGATATTTTTAGCAAATTGCCTAGCAACCTGGCACCACACATGTAATTTCCTCCACATTTGCACAGGAACCAACCTCAGTTATACCTATTATCACATTTGTTTTCATAGATGCATGCTGTTCCCAATGGCTGACATGTTTAGAAAAGTACTTTATTTAGCACTATAATTGTATTAACAGTATTTTTCATGTTGTACAGCTACATTAGTGATGACATTATTGGGAAAATAAAATTAAAGTGTATGTGAGCCCAAAATTTATTTTATTATGTTTGGCATCATGCCTCATTTTATACAATTTTCTGTACACAAATTTTTTTGTGAATCAATTTCAAAGTTTCGTACCTGAAAATCCTGCAAGTGGCATCACTTCTTATTGCAGACTGACAACACTAAGCCACTGCCTCGTCAGTCGCAGCAGTGCTGTCAGTTAGATATGTGAGCTCCTTCAGTAGGCCATTGACCTATCTATCTGTTCTATTAGACAGGAAGCCCAACAGCCAGCTGAGGGCACTACAGGAGATCGACAACACTGCTGCTAATTGCGAGGTAGAGAATTAGCGTTGTCAAACAAAAAACAAAACGGTGCTGGGGAGAGGACCACACATGAAGAGTCTAGCTTGGTTAGTGACAAAAGACCGATACAGCAGGAGAAATAAAAATAGGGGAATAGGCGTACAATAGTAATGAGTTCAAAATGGGGTGGCGATGAAGCGACAAATGGAGATGGGGAAGTCCATAGTCCAAGGGTCCTAGGTGGCGGATGGATGGTGAAGGCAGCTCCCCATAGAGCGAAGCAGAACGTGTTTCGAAGCACTTGCTTCTTCTTCAGACCAGACCAGACCCTATTCCTGCCCTGCCATTGGTCGCCCGTCGAGGTCCCGACTTCCTTGTGGTCCACGCTGGTTTCGGCGCCATTTTCAAAAACTCTCTGCATTGCTGAATACTGACGGCTGCATTTCTGCTCATCTTGCATAACCAGGATCCATCTTCACATCACTGGCAGACTGAGAGCTTACCAAAGGCATTCCTTTACCATGCTATTATACTTCTTACGTTTGTCAGTAGTTATAACCTCTTGTTACCAATAAATCTTTAACCCTCTACACTGAGATTGGCGCCCCCTTGTGTCTGAATTAGCGTTGTCAGCCTGCAACAGGAGGTATTGTTACTGGCAGGATCTCCAGGTAGGAAGGTTTGCATCTGTTTCACAAAAAAACTGTATACAATGAGACATGAAGTCATACATACTGAAAAGTAGATTCAGGGTTTAAGGGCTCTTGCACATAGATGTGTTTGTAGACTTATGAAGGTGCAGAATAAAATGCACCTGTGTTTGCAGAGCCCTGGGATCCACAGCTGCTGATACTTGCATTTATAGGCACACACGTATGGGCATAATTTATATGGGCATATGAAAATATACCCAGACACACAAGTACCGATCATTTGGCGCTTCCAGAGCACCACAATGACAGGTGCATTTTATATTGTACCCCCATAAGCCTACAAATACATTCATGTGCAAGAGCCCTTAGACATATCTGAGGAAAGCCTCTTGCAAAAGCCCTCTTCTTTTATTTTTGAAGAACCAAAAATGGAAAGAAGAATATGCATCCTAAGGGCATGCAGCCCTTTGGTATATGACGTATGGCCCTCGGACCTCAGCAGTTCGTAGTGGGAACATTGATGAGGGTAACAGCAATGATCTCTTTTAACTTCATGTAACATGTTCCCAGTTTGATATCGTCTTCTGCAACATATCTCCAGCCAAAAATGTAGCATGTCCACA